CCCGAGGGGTGGCTGCCGGGCCTCCCCAGCCCCCCTCCCCAGCCTGGCCGCCTTTCCCTGGCGGAGCAGCCCGTCCTGCACGGCTGCTCCTTCCTTCCCTGGGGCAGTCATGGTCCAGTCTGGCCCCCCGCTTGCCACTGGGTCTCCTTGAGTTTGGTGAAGGCATCTTCCATCAAGGCAGGCAGCTGGTCGTGGTGGGGTGAAGCCTTTTGGGGTGCCGCTTCCTCCAGTGCAGGCAGTTCTAGCTCCTGGAGGTCCTGCCAGTGCCTGCTCTTGGGTTTGCTGCTCCGTGTGCTGTTTTCTGCTGCTGGGGGTGCTTGCCTGCCGTTCGTCGGATGTGGTGGGGACGCTGGTCCAGATGGGTGGCAGGACAGGGACTGGAAGCCCGGGCCAGGGCTGTGGGGAGCACTGAGCCAGGCTCCAGGCTGCTGAGCAGCTCCCGCCACTGGGAGCTTCTAGGAGAGCTGGTGCCTGTCCTGACCCTCCTCTGCTCTCTTCTAGATGGGTCCTTCCACAAGCACGTTATCTGCAAGGTCAGTGTCCTCCACCACTGCGGTCCCCCATCGGGGCTGGCACCCAGCGAGCCTCCTGACTGGTGCCGGTGGGAGAGCTGGGGGGGAGTCAGGACACCCGCAGAGCTTGCCGGCCCCAGGGTGTCCGGGTGGCAGGATGGAGCCGTGCTCCCAAACCCGGGCGTCCCCATCTCTCGGGATGTGGATGGTGTCACCGCAGGGCTGCGACTGATGTCTCTGTCCGTTGGCCTCCAGGTGCAGTGTGTTGCCACGCTCCAGGTGGGCTCCGTCCAGGCAGGGAACGCCTCCGAATGCGGCCAGTGCTTCAGCCTCTCCTGGATGCCATCCAAGCCCCATCATCACCTCGCAGCCGGTTTTTATGACGGTGAGTCCCCCGCCTGCGCAAGAGCCCTCGCCCTGCCGCAGGCAGACACACACGGAGCTTTGTGCTCCTTCAGCCGCAGCCGGGGGCAGGGAATGGGGGGACAAGTGGCAGACACCGTGCAGGAACCTCTGCCCATCCCTGGGGCAGGGGGAAGGCTTACTGTGGGCTGGCCACAGGCCACCTCGCATACCCGTCGGCTCCAGGAACGTGGCTCTGGCTTAATCCGCATCTGTCTGACTTGCCTGCGTGCGAGTTCGCACCTGGCTTCAGGCAACGCGCAGCCCTGTGCAGAGCTGCGCCGT